TTGCAAGTGCAGTATTTCCCCCACAGACCACCAGGGCGGCCGAGAATTCCTTTGTTCAACCTGAAATGACTCATTTAGTCATCCATAACGTTATGGAACACATTAATTAACTGAAAAATGTTGCATAGTGTCCCTTTAAATCAAAGTGACAGATAGGAAAATGAATGTTGACAGAGGATGTTTGAATGAAAAGCCACAAATTTTTGTAGATCATTCATCAGCTCCAGAAGCTCCTCGCGTGGGATGCAGTGCAGAAAGCACACTGTTGGCTACACTAATTGCCGTTTCAAAAAGTTGCCCAGCAAAAAAAGTATAAGTAAAAAGAAATAAAGAAAGAAGGTATGCATTCACAGCATATTCAGCATCATGTCTGCTAGGAAGTTTGTTGGTTGTGGGAATGAACGAAGGGAGGCTCCATCACACTTACCTTCTCTCTCACCCTATGATTGGGATGAAGTCGGGCGGAGAACTGATGGTTTCCTCCTGTGAACCCCCTTTTTATACCAAAACGCTGCCAATACGCCATTATACAGTAGCTGTAAGTTAGGAACACGTTCAGCGCTCGTCTGGAACACGTCAGGTATGTTGATATGTGTTGGAGATAAGTTCTTGATAAGTTACGCACAAGTTACTCAGAGGTTTTGGATAAGCTGGACGCCACGACTTATGAGTAACTTACACTTAAAATATGTCAACGATCAGATAACTGACCTATAGTTATGGCCCACGTTTGGCATACGCTGGCATATGTGGGGAAATTTTCAGCAAGCTAAAAACTTCTCGACGTACTTGCCGTATGTCGACGTGTGCCAGCTTGTTTCAGCGTACTTCAGCATGCTCATACCTTATTCAAAACATACCGATAACTTATCCAATGTATGCCAGCATTTTTGCTAGATTTTTCATACATCAGGCATACGCTGCTCTAAATCCTCAAGGTGTTACAGGGGCTTCACAGGAGGGAGAGGAAGCTAGATACAGGAAATTATCTTCACAATTACAATAGCTCCAATCATACAGCCAGAGACATAATGGAAATGTTTGAAATGGCCTAGTCAAAGTCAAAACCTGCATCTGACTGAACTTTTGGTTAACTCTTTAAAGTTGCTGTTGAGAGATGCTTTCCATTCACAATAAAGCGTACTGTGAAGAAGAGTCAGAGCTACAGAGTTAGGATTATCATAAACCTAACTGACCCCTCTTCTGTTTCTTATGCAGGGCGAGGAGATCTGCAGCCCCAGCTGGACAGCGCCATGCAGGATGTGACTGACATGTGTCTGCTGATGGAGGAGACGGAGAAGCAGGCCGTGCGCCGTGCTCTGGTGGAGGAGAGGGGACGCTTCTGCACCTTCATTGGCTTCCTTCAGCCTGTTGTGGTGAGGAGATAATTATCCATTCCTTCATTTCAGGCCTGATTTTCTTCTTAGACCACGATTAGAGTAAAGACAAAATAAAAGCAGCATACATACTAATTCCAAAAAAGTTAACAATCCACTGGACTTTGTTTCCAAGTTTGAAGAAAACAATCCAGCAGAGTGTTTATTTAATTTTTTACCTTTTTGGAATTGCTTTACCTGGATGACTGCATATGTAATAATGTGAGAAGGAAAATGGAGAAGAAACTCTCCAGCCTATTAACAAAAATCATAGCAAATGCAGTGAGGAAATGTGAGCTGAAGTTGCATGCTTATGTTGTCAGATGTCTGACCAGCGAACCTGTAATAAGATGTAGAAACTGCATCTTCCTGCATACCTCTAGGACGCCTAGCACATGTCCAGCCCTCTCTATCTAGTGTATACTTCCCTCTTTCTGTTCAAAGGGTTTAAGACAAGAACCAGTTTTCCCTCAATGTCTCTGCTGCTGCCTTTAACAACAGACACATTTATTTCTCTGCAAAGATGCCAATAAGATCAGCATGAACCATCTGGTTAGTATGATTTGGCTTCATTTTAAGGATTATGTTTTTCTTTATTAAAACATAAATTATTATAAATGAATTAAAAAACAAACAGAAAAAAATATTTGTACAAAGAATCAGAAAATCTTGTAGACACAAAATGGATTGCTGCGGTTAGAGAAACTTTCCTCTTTTTGTACATTTGACTTCATTTGGTGAAAATAAGATGGATTTTTACACTGATGTTCAAAATTTTAAAAGCCATCTACACATTGCCATCTATTAACCAGGGCTGGGGATCAATCTCATAAAGCTAAGTTTGAACTGAATATGATATCTGGTGAACTAACCAGCTAACAGTCCCTAGGTCATCAGGGTCTATTAGTAGTGGGTAGACAGCTTGGCTCAGACTGATTTTAGCTGATTTAGTTGTGTTTAATACATTTAAAATGTTTCCCCCACCCTCTCTCTAAGGGAGAGCCCAGCCACCCTGCAGAGGAAGCTCATTTCAGCTGCTTGGATCAAGGATCCGGTTATTTGGGTCATGATCCAGATTAATGATCATAGGGTAGGAACGAACCCGACCGTTAAATCAGAGCTTTGCTTTTTCGCCCAGCTCTCTCTGAACCACGGCAGACGCTGCAAAATCTGCATTATAGCAGCAGCCGCACCGTTCCGGCTGTGGATCCACCTCTATTTTCCCTTCAATGATGAACAGAAGTCCAGGATACTGGAACTTCTTCACTGGAGGCAGAAACTCTACTCCAACCTGAAGGGAAAAATGCCTCCTTTTTCCGCTCAAGAACCAGAACCATGGCCTATGAGTAGTTGCTTCACCCTCAGCTGTGATTCGTCCCAGTCCATCCTGCAGGTCTCTGAAAGAGGGAACCGGCAAGACCACATAATCTGTGAAAAGCAGAGAGGAAATCCACTGTTCCCTAAATTCTGTGATGTTGTAATTTTATCCTGACTTTGTCTGTTTCGGGTTATAATCTCACCAAATAAAAAAAATTAAAAAAATGAAGCTCTTGGAAAGTCCAGCTAAACAGATTAATTTATCTCTGTGTGGAGTACCTGAAGCCTTTAGTTTGGTGTTTAAAGGAAAAGTCCAGTCAGCAAGGAAAGATCAATGGATCCTTATTTATACCTTAAACTAATATGTTTGCAGTGATTTCATGAATTAAGAATTTAATAAATTTAGCATTAATCAGTAAAATTTTCATTACGAGCACTGAGTCTGGGAGCTGTCATTTTTGGCCATATATAGTAACACCTCACTCCTGACATCTTCCGGCAGTGACGTCACGGTGCGGTAAGCCTAGCGCCATTCTCCCCGCTTTACAAGCAAAATCAATGGTAACTACTAGACACATCTGCAATCAACAAAAATTATTGAAGATTTCCAGAGGACTTCACCACTGAAATTCACCAAAGCTATAGTTAAACTGAGAATGCCCACTTGCGTACGTTGGGTAGAAGTGAAAAAAAAAAGTTATTCCACCTTTCCGATTCATGATCTTCCACAGACAGGTTGATCGTTGGATTGCCAACTTGAAGAGGGAGTACTGGCCATCGAACTTCTGGCCAGAGAAAAAACATGTAATATGTAGCCAACATTTGGAAGAAGAATGTTTTCAAGGTGACTTGGATTTTAGCCCGTTGGGACACAGACCAGATACAGCACTGGGACGTCACAGTAGTGGCAGTAGTGTTCTTTGACAAACATGGATGTCTCCAGCAAAGCACATTCAAATGAAAATTACTCTTATTTAAAACACTTATCATTTATTGAACAGTATGTGATAATTTCATATTTAAAGTCCTTTCAGAAGTTTGAATTCTGAATATGACCAGACTTCTCCTTTAATGGCTTATGATGTTGATCTCACAGTGACTCATTTGGGGCGATCCTGTAAAGCTCCCACTGACAGACGCTAAGAGAAGCGCTTAGAAGGAGAGATGGATCGATGTATGGCCTTTAAGGCTGATGCCAATACCCATTATTTTGACTTTAGGCTATCTGATCCCAATGTGCTGCTGATTTTTTGAGTATGGTCTGTATGTCTGTATCTTTTTTCTTTCTTCCGATCACATGAGAAAGGTGACACAAAAGCAAATGTTATAAAAGCTTTCAATTTCAACAAACAGAAACATTGACAAACCAGACATAGACAATAGACTTCAGATGGAGGGAGCAGCAGTGCCTGTGCTTTCTGTAATCCCGAAGCATGGCCGCTGAATGCACTAACGAATGGGCAATCAAATGCATGTATTGGCTAATGCTAAAGAGTTTGGTTTGTTAGGGTGAAAAACAGACTGCTCATCTTTGTTTGTTTTTATTTTACTTGATCAGAACGGAGAAATTGCCATGCTGGGGGAGATCACCCACCTCCAGGCCATCATTGATGACCTCACTGTGTTGACGACGGATCCCCACAAACTGCCCCCTGCCAGTGAACAGGTGAACACATTGAAAATGTAGAATATCTGTTATGCCGGGCATACTCTGTACAATTTTCCCCCTTTTCGGGCTGACACTCCAGTCGTGAGAGAATTTATTCGTTCGGGCCAAGTTTCAGCCTCATTGTGCATCCTGCGTCATGTAGCATACAGGGGGTAACAAGGGACGAGAGCCTCTCACGACCACCTACCAATCAGGAATCATAGGGTCAGGAGAAAATCAAACATGTTTGAAATTCAGTCAGCTGTTGTGATGTGGTCATGGACAAATCCTGCTGCTGAAGCAGAGCTACGAGCCGATTTAACAGAACCTCAAGCACTGCGCATGCACAACAACAGAGTTCTTCTTCTCCTTCTTCTTCGTCTTCTCCTTCTTCCAGGAGAACATGCAGCTGTGAACTTTTAAACCCAGCGGTTTCATTGTACAGTTTGAGTTGTAGCTGCGTTCAACGAGTGAAAATATCGGTTCTAACCTTCCCTGGTCCGGGTTTTCCTGCAGGTGATTGTGGATCTGAAGGGGTCGGATTACACCTGGTCCTATCAGACCCCTCCATCGTCTCCAAGCAGCTCTGGTTCACGCAAGAGCAGCATGTGCAGGTACAGACACACACAAACATACTCCAGCATTTTGTTGTCTATAAACCAAGGTTGTGTAGTTCTTGTAAAGCGGAGAGTACAGATGTGGATGTCTGTCCTTCTCCAATGTTCCTCAAATCATCCCCAGTTTGTTAGCATTGCTTCATATCTGGATTGCTCCAGCAAGGACCCTGAACTTAACTGAAGTGTAAAAATATGCAGTGTCTTGAAAAAGTCAGTGTGTCACCCCTCAACCGATTTCTGTGGACTTTGTTTGGTTTGTTTTTGACAGCTAACTGGGAGCTGGAGGCAGTTAGCCTAAAGTTTGTAACATAAGCCCTATTTATACTACCCTTTTGAAACTGTGCCGAGTGTAAATGGCACACATAACTGAACCGGACCATGCCAGACACAACCGAACCGTGCTAAACTGGTACTAGTTCATAAGTAGGGCTTGGCATGGTTCAGTTCTGGCTCGGTTCTCAGATAACAAAGAGCGCATGAGCAGACTCCTTACAGTCATCCTCTGTAACCATGAAATTTCAGGCTACCCTACCAGTGTTAATTTCATCAGCTGTTTTTAATTTAGTCTTAGTCACAATAACAAAAATCCAATTTAGTCTTAGTCATATTTAGTCATTGCCTTCCCAATTTAGTCTTAGTCTAAGTCTAAATGACGAAAATCAGTTTTAGTCTTAGTCACGTTAGTCATTTTTGTTATTTTAGTCAATGCTGTAAATAATAGGGCTTCACACACAGCTTCTCTTTTAAACATAGACATATATATATGTATATATATATATATATATATATATATATATATATATATATATATATATATATATATATNTATATATATATATATATATATATATATATATCACGTGATATGTATATATCACGCTGTACAGAATAAAACTTCTCCACACACTGCTTCTCTTTTTCACTATTTTATTTATATAACACTGTGCAGAATAGAGCTTCACACACTGATTCTGTTTTTAACATATATCACAGATATATTAAACCTTTTGTGGCTTTTTTCATCATATCCACAAAGTCTTCATCCTCAGACTTCACATCCTTCCCCAACCTCTGATCTGGCTGTGGTGTCACTGTGTCACGTATCTAGTTGGGAGGAAGAAATTTAAAAGAATAATATCCAGTGTATCTTTAGAACACCTTTCTCCTATGACAGAGAGACAGACAGATACAGGCAGAGGAAGGTGCACACACACACACACAAGTTCCTGCTACTACAGGCCCACCCGTTCCTTACCTTCTTCCATTTGGCTGCATGTTGGCACCTCAGATGTCCCTTGAGATTTGCTGTGTTCTCCCCTGCCATTTTGAAGCCGCAGACTCTTTGGTGGCGTCCTTCCTCCGGTGTTGTCCTTCGCATTGCAAACGAAATGGCTCCATACATCCAGGCATTGTTTTCGCCCAGCTACTCCAACGGTGTACGGTTTGTACACTGGTGTCCAAGCCCCACGCAATGACTGCCAGGTTGAGCTAGGAGTATACAGTAAGCCCTCTGCTACTACTGACTGAGCGGTGCAAGTCACTGTGGGACAGGCGTCATGTAGGGACAAACAGGACAACGCTTAATCTTTCTGAAGCTCAAACACTTATATTAACAATTACAAATTACAAATTAATTATAAAATATTACATTTCTATATAGTTCAAATGGGGCTTTAGTTAGAAATGTGAACATAATGTAGTTTACGTTCAGGTTGGAGTTAAAGTTGTAGGGAGGTCATATTTAAATTTCAAACCACTCTGGCTTAAACCTGTACGTATAAAAATGTATTCTTTATCAGACCATATTGTCCCACAAGTTAGAACATTTCTATTTAAAAAAAATCCTGTCTTTTTTTTTTCTTTTTCATTATCTTATGAAGGCCAGTTAGTTATACATGAGTTTGTACACCTAAATTCGGGCAATCATATATCAACGGTCGTCTGTCAATCTAATTTATTTTGTCATATCATCTTTATTTGTTTGTCGCAGCTAATATAAGCAACGGTTAAAATAAGAAATAAGCATAATTTCCTTTCCCATTGAGTTCTGTCCCAGTGCTCACGGGGATGGACATCTGTGTCTTCAGCATGCGTAGAGCTAACAGAACTGGCAGCGTTGCGAGGCAAGGGCTCAAACATATACAGCTGTAAGCCTTCCACACCAAACCAAGCTTCTGCCGTTCTGGAGTCGTCTTTCTTAACAACTTTGTCCCGGCTTTCCTCCTCTAAATAAAAAATGCATTACGGAGGAGACTCATCCATGACCTTGGACACAAAACTCTCCTCCTTGCATGTTTCCGCTGTCCATAGCGTTCCTTGACAGTGTCGTTGCTAAGTGCTACTTGGTCCCAATGTAAATTCCCTAATAGCACTAAGTTGCTAACTAGATAGCAATATGCTTCAGAGACACTGGCCACAACCAAACTTGCTTGCGAACCTTCTGCCACAACAATCCCGCCCCCTTGATAAACGACCGATCATATTCACTTTATTCACCATGTAAAGCCGGGCAACACTCGGGAGAATTCAGAATGCAACGGTTGGAACAGCGGCTTCCCTACGACTTTAAGTTAGATTAATTATCAGGGTAAAGGGTTGTTGTCAGGGTTATTATCATGTATGTGTTCAGCCACACCCACCCTCACACTCGCAGTGTCTCTTAATTTGTTAAACCTCCTGAGTTCACACACTCTCTGTTCACCTCCTCCTCCTCCTCATCCTCCTCTTCTTCCGTTATTTGCCATCTTTCACTCCTGCTGGATGATCCTTATCTGCTTCCCCTTCCCTTCTGGGGGAACTTCTGCTTCTAATTGTCTGTGTAACTAATCCAACCCACTCTTACTCTTGAATGTCCTATCCTTCACCTGATCACCGTCTCTCTCCACACCTCCTCTTATTCTTTATCCTCTCAAACTTTGACCAACTCTTTTGTTTAAAAATTTCCTACAACCTCCTTCTATCCTGCAACATGTTCCTCTAATTATAATGACTTTAATCACTTCTTCACCTGACCTTCTAAAATTGTTCTTCACCATGCAGCAGCGTCAACAGCGCCCACAGCAGTGCTTCCCGTTCATCAGGTGGAGGCGTAGGAGTGGGTAGCGGTGGAGGAGGCTCGCAGCCACACTCACCGTCCTCTTCTTCCTCATCCTATCGCTATCGCAGCAGTGTGCCACAGCAGCCTCCACCACCAGGTGGCATTGCGGCGCACCGTCTCAGCAGCGTCTCCTCCCACGATTCAGGTTTTGTGTCCCAGGATGCAAACATCTATTCCAAGCCTCCGTCGCCGATGCCCTCAGACATCACCAGTCAGGTAGGCGAGTCGGTTTCACCAATGAAACTGATTGTCAGTCTGAAACCGTTTTAAGTTTGGCCTCATTTCTCATCTCATCTGGTGCACCTGCAGACCGGTGTTCTCTCAGATGAGCATACCTCATCAGACCAGCATACCCATAGTCAATACGCATGCGAAAGATGTCAGATTTGCGTTTATCCCTTTAGTTTTAAATAAAAAATAGACTATAAAATACCTCAACTGGCATGTAGCCCTTTAGTCACGTACAAAAAAAAAATATTTAAGGGGAGATACGCTTAAAAAAACCATCAGAAAGTAAGTGATTCAATTCGTTCTTATACATGCACTAAAGGGATACAAATCCATATTTTTCGTACGAAACTAAGGGATAAACTTTCTCTCCAGGATGGAGTCACAGCCAAACAGGAACAGACCAGATCAAGCTACAATGAAAAAAGCAGAGAGAGCAGAACATTAGTGATTGAACAAAAAAATTCCGCAGAGTTGGAGAATAGAGATAGAATGAAGCAGAATGATGAAAAAGGGGTCCTTATGTCCTTCAGCAGTCTAAAGGGGGACAATCAGGAACTAGCTGTGGGTCTAGATACAGTAGAGGCGAAGAGAAAGTAGGGGCAAATTTGTGTGACAACGGAGGCACATGAGGGCGAAAAAGAGCGGGTTATCCAGATGGAAAAAGGGTCCCAGAGTTCTCGTGCACCTCGCTCTTCTTATTGGTCAAACTTCACGAGTCGTTTTCCACAATAGCGGTCACACAAACAAAACAAACCGGTAAGGAACCAAACAGGAGATACGCATGGGTTGAGCGGATGTAGATTTGACCAATCAGAGACCTCCTGCACTGTTTGCGGCCACCTGCAATTATGGAGAGGTGCAGCAGAGTGTCTGCGGCAGGGGTGGGGGCACATTTACCTTCACTGCGACACACACGCAGATTACCTGGGTTCTGAGTATAAGTCAGCCTTAACAAAGGAAGCCAAACAACCCCCATTCTAAAGGGGCGGACCCTTTAGCCCGTTTCAATTTGCAAGTTTTTTTAAGCAAAAAAAAGGGCTTTGTTGGGCTACTGTATAAAGCCTCGGACTCTACGCTATTTCTAACATTTTGAATTGAAAAAGCTTCCTGGATGGGAAGCAAAATGTCTTCAAACTTGGAAATATGTCCAGTGGATTATTTTTAAACTTATTTGGAATTTAACTATTCATGTTTTTTATTTTAGTTTGTAATAAAAATAACAAATGAAATGTTTAAATATGATGGGAACATCAGTGGGACCTCCATGACAAGCGTATAAAAATCTCCTCTATAGGAGGAGACAATCAATGGCTTTTTTATTATAAGTGGTTTTTCTTGCTTCTTTAGATGTCCTCCAGCTCTGCATCATCAGAGGCGTCAGAAACATGCCAGTCAGTCAGTGAATGCAGCTCCCCAACCACTGTAAGTATTCCAGTCCTACTTGGGCCTTCTCCTTTACCCGACACATTAGAGGAGAGTGAAGCAAAGACTATAATCAAACTCATTCTTTAAAGGAAAAGTCCGGTCAGCAAGGAATAATGAATGGGTTATATTTACACCTAAAACTAATATGTTTGTGGTGATAACATACATTTAGAGTTAATCAATAAAAAAATTAAAACAATAATCTTCGTCGCGATCACTGAGTCTGGGAGCGGCCATTGTTGCCCAAATATACACCTCCCTCCTGACATCTTCCCGCGGTGACGTCACGGGGCGGTAAGCCTAGCGCAATTCTCCCTGCTCTACAAGCAAAATCAATTGGAACTACTAGACACATCTGCAATCAACAACAATTATTGAAGATTTCCAGAGGACTTCACCATTGAAATTCACCAGAGCTATAGTGAAACTGACAACGCCCTATCTCCAGCTGTCTACAGGCGAGAGGCGGGATATACCCTGGACAGGTTGCCAGTCCATCGCAGGGTTGTTTTTTAAGAGGACTTGAATAATAGTCCTCTTATAATAGTCCTCTGTGACAAACACCAGAAACAGCACTGGGACTTGATCAACAGGCGATACCATACCGTGTAGGTGGCAGTAGTGTTCTTTGACAAATATGGATGCCTCCAGTAAAGCACATTCAAATGAAACTTACTCTTAATTAAAAACGCTGAACATTTATTGAACAGTATATGATAATTTCATATTTAAAGTACTTTTAGAAGTTTGAATTCTGAATATGACCTGACTTCTCCTTTTATTCTTCCAGAAACCATTAAATCTGAAGTCAAATATGTAAAAGGGATTAAAAGTTCCCTTTTGGGCAGATTCTCCCACCTGAGGTTTCTGCAGCTCCTCCAAAGTTTGCATCAGTGGCCTTTATGAATAAGAGTGGTTTTAAAGAAGCTAAGGGTTTTGGTAAATTGAGAAAATTAGCATTCTATTACAAAAGGGCACTCCTTTTGTAATAAAATTTCTTCTCTATGAAAATATTTTGTTCAGAAAGCATTTTTAAACTTTTGAACTGGTTACTTTCCTTTTCTCCAGCTGAAATCTCCTCCATTCATCCACATCTCTGTTCCCTGAAGAACAATAGCAGGCTGCCAGCTCTAAAACAACTGGGATAATTGTGGCTGTTATTAAAGCTGCTGTTGGAGCTAAGCAGCACATGCTGTTAAAATGGCACATTTCATTCACAGTGGTGCCAGGATTGTATTGTTATAGGAAATCGGCTGGAGGCTGAGCTCTGAAAGGTATTACCAACCTGACACTCAGACTTCCCCACAACTTAATGGCGTCCCCTGCAGAGATTTGTGTAGAGTAGCAGCTCAGATGTGAGTTCAAGTTGAAATTAATGTAAAATTTCTTTTCTTTTATTTAAAAAAGAAAGCTCTTCTTGTTTTGCAGTCACGTGGAACTAAGCCTCCTTCTGTGCTAACAGCTACAAATGAATTGGTTGAATTCTGTTGCTTCAGCTGGTGGTAAAATCTGCATAGAAATCTCTCTAAAATCAGTATTCTTTCCTGGTTTGGAGCTCAGCTGCTTTCCTTTTAGAAGCCATTCTTCTCAGCTGCTTATATGTGCAGAAAAACACAATTACAGGGATGATTCACTGGTTCAAAGAAGGAAACTGCCAAGAGTTGAAGCGGCAGCCGTCTTCACAACAGCAGTTTGTTTCCATGACAGCTTTCATCTAACGTCGATCTCAAAGTTGGCTGACAAACAGGATTGTTTGCTCTGCCTTCTGGTTATAGTGACATAAACCTGCACAAACAGGCAGAACAATCATTGAAACTCAGGATCTCTTTTTACATCATAGGGCTGGGTTCTCCTAAATGATGACACCTTCAGAGAGGATGGTCTTCTTCTGGATGCATGTGGTGCCTGATAGAATAATAAAACAGATATTCGTCTCCCTATTCCTGGGATAGATCTCAGATGTGATCTCAGATGTGTTTCAACTCATCAGGGTCTGAAATGTACAGATCTAAAGGTTTAAACATGGATTGTCTCACATTCTGGACCCATAGATTAAGTTTTCATACAGTGACTTGTTAGACCAACAAAGTTTTCCAGAATGTGAAGTGAACAGAAAATGGGAACTAGAATCCAAAAACTGGAAAGTCTGTCTTTGATTAAAGAAACTCTTTAGTGCTTAAATGTGCATTTCTATTCAGCCTTTACTCAAAGATGAAGAACAGTAAGCCGATCAACTAACTAGATACACAGCTTTTTGTGTGTGAACTGACGACAGGTGAATGAATGGTGACACATATTCTGAGGTTCGGCTGTCTTCACAGGGGCCATCTCTATGGTGACAGCCAGTAGCATGTGGATAAAGGCTGATCAGCACCATTTTTCCAGATCCCCTGCAAAATGCTTAGTAAATGCAATTCTTTGTTTGCAGAATAAGTTTATCTCTGTTCGTAGCTCAGGCCCTGTCTGGCAAAAAACTCATATTGCATGGGATATAATATCATGGTGGAGGCAGATATTCATCCCTTTTATAAAATAGGAGCACGGTCTCAGGTAAATAGCACAGAACATTCGCACAGCCTGTGGCGAATGTTCAACTTTTAGCAGGACAACCAACTAAAAGCCCTATGGCCTAGTCAAAGTCCATACCTAAATCAGTTTATGCAGAACTTTACATTTTAAATCCTTCAATGTAAAGTCTCAGACTCACCTTGCCAATTTATGCCCAACGTTCCAGAATCTCCTAAAACACTGGCATACGCTGAAGTCTTTGTATTGTTTTTTTCAACTTTGGGGGGATGCATAGTGTATTGATAACTAGTCCAGAGCCAACTTATGCATTACGCACGGCAGCGTAATGCTGCATCAGTTAAAGCTGCTCCACTTTGGTGCATTGCTGCTCCTGAGGAGAGCAGCGGAGCAGCGATGCACCCACCCTGAAAGAACAGAATAAATAAAAATAAAATGAAAGGAAGAAGGTTTGCAGTCACAGCAAATTCAGCATCATGTCTGCTGGTTTGTTGGTCGTGGGTGTGAACGCAGGGGGGATCAATAGCACTCACCTTCTAACTATGAAGGGGATGAAGTCTGGAGGATAAGTTACTCATGGGTTTTGGATAAGCTAGACACCATGACTTATGAGTAACTTAAACTTAACATATGTCAAGGATCAGATAACTTACCTGTAACTTATGCCCCACATATGGCATACGCTGGTATACGTTGGTAATGTTTGAGCATGCTCAGAATTTCTCAATATACAGTACTTGTTGTAAGTCGACGTGTGCCAGCGTGTTTCAACGTACTTCAGCATGCTCATAACTTTTACAAAACGTACCCATAACTTATCCAACGTATGCCAGCGTTTTTGCCAGATTTTTCTTACGTCAGGCATACGCTGGTCTAAATAGTCAAGGTGCAACAGGGGCTTTACTAACTGTTAGCAAGAAAACTACAGCATACTGACTCAGAGGTCTAAATACAAATAAATATATTTTCCAAATCTGCTGGAACAGAAAGCAAGCTGGAAACAGAAACTGAAATTAAATCCTTTGAGCCAGAGCATGTTGGGCTGCTTCCTCTAATACAGTGGTTCCCAAAGAATTTCTTCTGGGCCCCCCTTTGGATTACAATAAAATTTCCACGCCCCCCCCCTCCCAAAAAATAAAAAATCAACTGGGCACACACAGCGTTCAACCTGATATAATAAACCTATACACATATTTTGTTTTCAAACTCCACTGAAGTTTATTTCACACTTCAGGTTGCAACAAAACAAACTATACACCATCTTTACAGTGGAACACTTTTATGTAACTGTATTTTTTTCATAGTTTTATACTGTAGATTAGAAGAGGATTCTTTGTTGTCTGTGTTATTTTAAACATATTTCTTTGCTATCATCAATACATTAAAAAAGACTCTGTGCAAAATGGAGTGAAAACATTGAACAGCTCCCTGAGAGTTTTTTCTTTGTGCTTTAATCCTCCCATCTTTTCAGTGGCTGTAGTGAGCCTGCTTGTTGCTGTAGATCTTCTCAAATATGGGTTGCAGTGTCACAACTGTCCATTATGCTCAGTCAAAGCAAGCCCTTTTTTTTTTTTTTTTTTTTTTTTTCTTCATTCATCCATGCCGCTTACCGCGCCCCCCCTGCAATGGCATTGCGCCCACACTTTGGGAACCACTGCTCTAATAGCTGTGTAGAGCAGCAGCTACCTTCAGCCTTTCCCGTCCATTTGACCTCCCTTTTTTGCTGTGTATAGGATCAGATCTTCTCTTATGCCTGCTGCTTTTCCATTGCTCTGATGACATGACCGTATCTCTCACCCTGCAGTTTGGCTCGTCCTTCGCTACCTTTCGCCCCGCTCACTCTCACTCTGGCTCCACCAGGCCTCTCTCTGTCATTCTTCCTCTTCCTGCGTCCCCTCCCTATATTCGCCCCCCTGGATCCAGCTCCTCCTCTCCCACATCAAAGGTCCCCCTGTGGAAGGTTTGTTGCCCATGCGCTTCCCTTTTTTTTCAGCCCAACCTTTTGTTTCTGGTCTTGTTGGATATGTTCTCCACAGTTTACATTCTCTCCATCTGATTTTCATTCAAAAGCACGTTGCTTTGCTTGTCTAAAGCTTCCATCATGGGCTGCTGTGTGTGCATGCATCACCTGCCTCCCTGTTATTTAGCCAACCTACTGATGACTCCAAAAAACAAGAACATGCAGGGTTTAATCATCATATATTGTCTGTAAGACCTGAACATTTCCAACACCTTTCCAAAGTCTCCCTAAGACTGTTCTCTGAACTGAGGCAAAGGGGTTTAAACTGCTGGATGGAAGACATCTCTTTTTCTAATGCTACAATAAGGCTGTTGATGAATCCCCTCAATTCTTCAGGACTGGTCTAAAGCAGTTCAGTATGAGCAGCCCGTGGCTGCTGCACCGGTTCAGAGGAGGAAGGAGCCTGTCGACAGGCCGCGGGAGAGCGAGGGTTCGCCAGGCCCCCAGGGACCCGCTGCAGCGTCGCACCCAGAGGACGGGCAGAGGCCCCGGATGACTCCAGCTACGATCGCTGCAAAGGTAATTCTGAAGGATATGCAGATAGCCACTAAATACAAAGATTTTCTTTTAATAGGTTGAAAAATCGCAACCAAGCTTTTAGCCTTAAAGGAGATGTCTGTTCAGCAAGAAATTATCAATGGATCATTATTTACACCTAAAACTAGTATGTTTTATAGTGATTTCATGAATTTTGCGTTAATCAGTAAAAATATATAAACAATAATTTTCGTTGCGACCCCTGAGCGGCAATTCTTGCCCAAATAAAGTAACACGTCACTCCTGACATCTTCCGGCAGTGACGTCAACGGTGCAGTAAGCTTAACGCTTGAAGAGGGATGATTTGCCATTGAACCTCTGGCAAGAGAAAAAACATGTAACATGTAGCCAACATTTGGAAGAAGAATGTTTTCAAGATGACTTGGATAATAGCGTGTTGTGACAAACACCAGATACAGCACTGGGACTTGATCAAAAGCTGATACCGCACTGTGACGTCACAAACCGGTGGTTGGCTGTAGTGTTCTTTAATAAACAAGGTTGTCTCTTGTAAAGCACACTCAAATGAAATTACTCTAATGAAAGTGCTTTCAGAAGTTTGAGTTCTGAATATAACTGGAATTTTCCTATAAGCCTTATTGAAAAAAACTTTTCCCTCAAACAGTCACACAGACAAGCAGCTAAGGTTTGTCCGTTAATTCAGATTCAAAACATACAACATGTTCCATCACAGGCAGTTGCTGCTTGCCTAATATCTCTAATCATATTTATATCTGTTCACTATGCTGTTTTCAAACATCTTCTTCCGTTAGAATTTTATTGTGAATATAGAAAAACTTTTTTGGACACCAGAGATCTTTTTTGAGACCGAACAACATTTTGGCTGAGACCTAAAAATGTTGCCATCCGTTAATAAAATTACTTTGATGCATAAAGTAAGTAATTCAATCAATGTTTAAATACAAAGAACATTTTTGAACTTCCAGGACAGTTTATTAAAATCAAAAATATTGCAAATCCCTGTTCTGTTCGGCACATGAACTCAGCTTAATCCTTCTGAGGATTAGAGTCATTGTCAATGTTTGTGCAGAATGGGAAAATAAAATGCACTCAGTGTTTAGTGTTTTTAATCGAAATAAGGAAAATGAGAGCATATTATGTGTTCCAGGTGATGCTATCTAGAGTTAAAAGTGTGACTGAATTTTTAAAACTACATCTTTTTACTTTAATTTTATACATTTGCAGAAACTTTAGTCTAAGTTGATTTGCTGTGTCAAGAGCCTTTAAGTAATGGACACTTGGTAAAATGCTTCAGGCATAAAGTAATGTTTTTATTTTATGCTGTTCTGCCACAGTCCGTGGGCTATAATGCTGACCATCCAAAAAAATCTGACAGCTGCTAACCACTTAAACAGAATAAGCAGATCCTTGTGAAGGAGGCTTCTGTCCAGCACAAGTTGAATGTGTTCCAATAGCTGCTAGGTTTGGTGAGGCAGATGGCTGCACTGCCTAAATCACCTATGCATGACATGTTCTTGCATGCAGACATTTTTCAAAGCCCTCTTGACACGTTTGATTGAGTCCAGAACAGAGTTTTTGGTCATTTCACATTAACACAATTCTGTCTGAATTATTGTAAAATAATTTCATCCCTTTTTTCCCCCATGCAGTCTAGAAATGTCCCAAGACAAAATGACATGAACTATAACCTAAACATGAAATGTTATCTGGATTAAATTATATTAGCCTTGGTGTGAATAGATACTCAAACCTCGACCAGAATTCAGGAATCCGGCCTTCCTGAATTCAATTCAATTTTCAGCTAATTTCTGATTTTTGGAAGATAAAGTCTAGGAAAATAAAAATTCTGTTCAGTTTATTTTCATGCTTCAATACCCAACACCTTTGATCTCAGGGCACTTTATAGATTACGATTAACCAGATAACCTCAAGTCACTTTATAGATCCAGATCAATCAGATAATATCTGGTCACTTTATAAAGCCAGATCAACCAGATTATCTCAGGTCACTTTATAGATTCAGATCAACAAGATTGTCTGAGGTCACTATAGATTTAGATCAATCAGATCACCTCAGTTCACTTTATAGATCCAGATCAATCAGTTAATCTCAGGTCACTATAGATTAAGATCAACCAGATCGTCTGTTGTCACTTTATAGATCCAGATCAATCAGTTAATAATCAGGTCACTGTAGATTAAGATCAACCATATGATCTCAGTTCACTTTATAGATCCAGATCAATCAGTTAATCTCAGGTCACTGTAGATTAAGATCAACCATATCATCTCAGGTCCCTTTATAGATCCTGATCAACCAGAGCATCTCAGGTCACAATAGATTAATTTAGCGCTCCCCTCAGTAACCATAGAGATGAGGGCAGGGCTTTTGGGTTCTTCTAAAATATAAATCTCCAACTATGCTTAAACCTGATTAACTCAGGTCTAATATTAGTTTCAAATTTCTCTTTTTAAAGTATAATTCAATTCAATTCATCAACCAGTAATCTCAGGTCATTTTATAGATTCAGATCAGCCAGATTATCTCTTGCAGCTTGTGCCCTACAATGTAGCTACCCACCCTAGTGCCCTGTTTATGGCTTGGGACTCACTATGCCCCCCCACTGCCTTATATACAGGGCCCCAGTACCCATTCAATTCAATTCAGTCTATTTATATAGAGTATATATCCAGTCAAATTGATTCAAAGTTTTCTATCTAAGGAATACCAGTTGATTGCATCAACTCATTGACTTGAAGAACCAGGCTCAGTGTGAGCGGCCACTTGCCGAGGTCCACTGGGGTTCAAGGAGACAGAAGCATACAGAGATACAAAAAGCAGCTGTAAAAGGTGGCCCCGTCCAGGAAACACACAGCCAGGTACACGTGCTCCCCGAATGATGAAATGGGGGTACCTATGTTCTCCAGAAGTCTAAGCATATAGCAGCATAACTACAGAGATAGCTCAGGATAACCTGAGCCACTCTAACTATAAGCTTTATCAAAAAGGAAAGTTTTAAGCCTAG